AAGCAACAACAGAAAAGAACAAATTTGGATGAGGAGTTCAAGGCAGCTTTCGGAGCCAGCCCTCCCCAGCTCCCCGTATAAACTCCCAGGTTCACGGGAACAGGCTGCTTCAGCTCAGACTCCATGGCTGTGGTGTGCACATACCCGCGCTTGCCTTCCCATGGCCCCAAGCCTTGTTTCATGAGGTGCTGCTGAGTAGCACCGTGTGTGATCACCCCGCGTAGCCCACATTTATCCTCTCCTATGATATTGCTGGAGTGTCCCAAACTGGGTCACTCCCAGCAGCGTGGGCAGAAAAGGTGCAGGTTACAATGCTCTGAGTTTATACTAATTCTCAGACTTTTTCATCTTTGATGTAGGCACAGTCCTACAATAAAGCTGGGGACATACAGATAAATCCAGACATATAGAATATATATTTAAGCAGGAAAAAGCATGGGTATTAACCACCTACTCCAGTGGCAGCAAATACCTAAGCTGATATTTAATGCATTTAACCATATTGCAAAGGCTCACCCGAATCCTGTATATACAGATTCTTAAATGATCTACAGAATGAACATGTACATACCTTTATTTCCCACAAAATCCAGGATAATATTACTTTCATTTCGGAGAGAGCACGATAGCACCTGAAAACTCCAGCCGATAAGAAGCCCATTGCATTAAGCAGGGGAAAAACAGGAAGATATTGAGAAAGTAGTCCTCTTCTGAAGGAATGTTTAGTCTAAAGAAAGATGGCAGATAAAAATCAGTAGAAAAGAAATATTATTAGAAGGAAAATGGAAGGACGGATGGGTTATCTAATTTGCCAAAGAAGGGACAGGATTTGGCTATGTAATATTTTATAGACAGAAATGGCGATGTGACCTCAAATCTGGAACTGCCTCATGATCTCACAGCTTGGAAAATAACAGCATAAGCCCTTATTTACTTATCAAAATTACCTGGACAAAAAAGAACAGGGAATAAACAGAACAGAATTGAGGGATCTGCTCGCATGCTCTAACCACTGAGATTTCCTTATTTTTCAGAGAAGTCCACAATGTTTGATCTTTTATGATTGCAAGTTCTGTCCTACTTTCTTCATGAGGTATGATTTGATTCAGCCTGCATTCTTCCATTGCCTTGTACTTCTTAATTGCAGGAGGCAGAATTTTTTATTTCTGCCATAATTATCATGACACTGTTACTATTTATTGGTGCTGCGGTACTGCAGTACAGATTATTTTCTATAAAGGTTTGGACATAATCACCAAGTTCAGCACAGCTTCATAAATAGGTTGATATTATTCCAAACAATGTTTGTGGGAAAATGAGCTACGTCCTGAAAAAATTGCTCAGTCCTAATGCAGAAAAGGTACTTAAGCCTGTCAAAATTGCAATAAGCATCAACTGGAGAACTACGAATTGAAGCTTTGTACCTGGCCCACGCACATCGTTGCCTCTGTACCTCCAGCTCCTGCTGTCTGCAGCATACTGGGAGTGACGCTGAGCCCAACTGCAAATTCTATGGGCCAAGAGAGATTTGCAGCTTGGGGGAGGTTTACTTTAAACTGGCTGTAGCCTGGTCCAAAGCTTTGAACACCCATTTGCAGCTGTGGTGCAGCAGGTGCTTTCCTGGGGCACTTCATCCCGTTTAACATCTTCTGAAAGGAATTCGATATACTTGCTCCAAAACTGTGATGCACATTTGAAACCAAAGCCCAGTGAGCAGGAACAATTTGGAGATTGACTTTGAAAGCCCACACCTGAACTGAACTAAAACATTCATGTGAATGTATCCTGCTTGTCCCCACACACCAGCATTAAATGGCGTCACACTGGCTTTTCCTAGCCCACAGGAAAGACAGACATTTTTATTTCCTTTGCAAATTTTTCTCATATGGGAATGTATAAGATGGAGAAAAACAGATCTCTTGTTGGTATGGGGTTCTTTTTACTCTAACAGAAAAGAGCTCTACTATGGATATTATAAACAAACATAGGGGTTACCATCTGTGGATGTTTATTCTCTGTGCAGGAATTCTGTAGGAACTCCTCAACTTCTATTAGATTTCTTTTATTTATTCTTGGTTAAGAATTTAATCTCTATAGTCAATTCTGTCTGTGCCACCTCTCTATCTCATGATGAGCCTGTGTCAGGAAAGGTTCTTGACTGAAGACAGCACCCGTAGATGAACTTAAGAATATATGTTCAAGTTCCAGCAAGAACAATAGGCACTAACACTTACGTGAAGAATGTGTTTAAGGTTACCTAAATCATACTTGTTGCAGAGACAGATTTAAAATGTATTCACTTTTTTTTTCTGAATGAGAGACTACCTTTTACCTTGTGTATTCAGCCTTCCCTTAAAAGGGCTACCTGATACCCAGGGTCACTGTGGTAAATGGGGTTCTTTATATGTTTCAAGTTTGATGTGCTGAAGTACTTTGTGAAATGGGTTGAAAATCACAATCAGACTTAACTATTATATACAATATATTATATATATATATTCTATGATTCTATGATTGATTCATTCTATATATACTGACTTTTTTTAATACCATATTACAGTATATTAAGGAGCAAAAATGTTCTTTTGTCTCAGTTTTTGAGATGTTCTCCTTAACTACAGATCTTGAGGTACTGCAAACCGACAGTCAGACTTGGCAGGTTGGGTTTGCCTCTATACAGCAAAGTGAGGCAGTTAACATCTCAGAGAAATGTTTTTTCCAGCTGAAGAAGTACATTAAAATTCTCACAGCAGCTAATTCCCTCACAACTCCATTGACAATTGCCAGCAGCTTCTGTGAAGAGCTAAGCAACCTCATTACAAATCATCAGGTGAACTGAATGAGGTTCAATGTTTAAAGAAAGTCGGAATAATAATTCTGTAAAACTGAAGCACAAAGCCCAGCGGAGAGTGTTCCTGTAAGAATTAAGTTATTAATTTTTTAAGCAATCATACACAGTAAAGCAGCTGAAATATTGTTTCATAATAAATACTATTGCTGATGCAAATCTGATTCATTCTAATGGCTACTATAATTAACTGCACGGTCTGTGAGCCGTAAATTTTGAGGATGAATAATTGGTTAAACCAAGTTTTGTGTATCGCAATGTAATATACTTGTTCAATTTTCCACTTAATTTCAATTAATATGGGTTTTACATGTACTCCACTGTTGCAGTTTTTATGCCTATTATTTTTAATTAGGAAAAAGCAGTACCTTGGTAGAACAGAACAAATGAGCAACACTGTGTGTTGTTTCCAAGGTGGTTTTTTTTCCACTACAGATACTTCAAGCTCATATCACTTAACTACCCAAAATGTTAATCAGTGCTCCTGAGGTTGACCAGAACTGGGAGTGCCAGCTCCCACACAGAACAGAAGGGGAAAAGGGATATCTCAGTCCCCTCGTTCACTTACTGACCACTACACAGTGATTTTCAGTTCGGTCTCTGGATCTTTGTTACGCTTCCTGTTGTTTTCAGTACTGCAAAATATTTTAGTGATTAGAACTGCATGGTGATGTTCTTGTTCACCACTGAAAAGGTGAGCTTGTAGATGCACCTATTTTATGACGGCATCAATCACCAGCTGGAGATTCTTACTCATCTCCACAAAAGGTACCTAGACATCAGACTGGATGCTTGTCTTTTGGAGGGATTGTTAAACTAGATGAGTGCTACCCTCAGAGCCATATATTAGTCTTCATTTCTTTCAAGAAAAAAATTGTCTGCACATCAGTTTTTGTGGCATAAATTACTTCTCACATCGTGTTGCCCCTGCAGCACAGACAGGCAGGTGTCAGCTCCATCCCTGCCACTTGCCAATGCCTCTGTGGGATGCAGGTTCTCACAGAGTGGACAGAGAGGGTTATTTGCATTCCCTTTGCTCCCTAGGATTCCCTAGCTCCTAGGGGTTTCAGTTTGACTGATAAAAGGAGGCTAAATGTTCTAGTAGACCTCTTTGTCCTCCCTCTCGAGCCGAATCTTTCCAGGTGTCTGACAAATTCCCGGCACCATTGATGCAGTTGCTTTATGTCTGACTTTTCTCACTTCCCCAGTATTAAAGATCTGGTGGCTGGAGTGCAGCTGACAGCTTCGCTGATGACATATGAGGCAGAAAACCTCCAGCCTACTCTTCCCCAGCTGGCCTGGTGCTGCCAACAGAGCGAATCTGTGCCATTAATAACAATGGGTAATAAAAAAAAAAAGGCCTTCAGGGTGCTGCTGAATGAAATTTTATTGTGCATTTCACAGAATCTTAAATAGAAAATAGAAATCCAGACATTATGTTTTAAAAGCCAAACAAAGTAAGGTTAACCAATCCTGGCTAAATGGAGTCATTGCCTAACCCACATTGTCAAACCCTTCACAGACATTTTAATGCGTTCATCTGCATTGCACCATTATCTTCACTTCGTAAACAGAGAGGAGCAAGAGGCATAGAAGTAGGAGAGTTATTAGCACAGAAACTGTTGGTACAGTGAAGGAGCTGTGCCTAGGTTGGTCTGTTTGCACATGATCAGTTCCCATGTCTGTGAATCAAAAGCAGTGTCTACAGGTTCCGTATAGAATAGACCCCATGTTAGCATTTACACCTTAACAAAAAATTCCTGAGGCTTTGGAGTGATTTCTGAAGGTGGGGAGAAGTTTCTGGACTCCCCAAAACAGTATATTATAACGTTCGTGACACATGCTTTAAAGAAACACATGGAAGAGAAACAGTTGGAAAATTACATATGTGAGGTGTGGAGCTGCACAGAGAAAGGCATCAGCTGGATAGGAAAATATTTAAGGGGAACCTCTTCTTTCATTCCTTTCTTTTTTTTTTTTTTTTTTAACATGGTCAGTGCATGTACCAGTAAGAGCATCTGCTATGAGCTGTTTAAGACACTTAAAAAGACTTTTTCCACCATTAATGGCAAACCCACCAACAGATGTCTGAAGAGCTGTTAGTATTTCAGCCCCATGCACTAACCACCCACTTTGCAATGTTCCCCGGCAGGTCAGATGACCCTGAGGACACAGCACGTTCAGGACTCCAAGATGGGCTTTGTAATCAATGCAATATACTCGATGGCGTACGGCCTCCACAACATGCAGATGTCGCTGTGCCCAGGCTATGTGGGCCTCTGTGATGCTATGAAACCCATAGATGGTCGGAAGCTCCTGGAATCCCTCATGAAGACTAATTTTACCGGGGTTTCTGGGGACATGATCTTGTTTGATGAGAATGGCGACTCGCCAGGAAGGTAATGTTGACGTTTGTCAAACTATTTAATACTAGCCATGTCAACTGTATGCAGTAGATGCATGCAGACTTGGTATCAGAACTAAGATCTCATACTTTTTTCACATTTTCACATTTCCTGACTTTCTGTGCTTCTTTTTCCGAAATAACTCTTTTTTTTAATGTACATTTTTTATGACTTTAAGGTTAAAGACATGAACTTTCTGGCATACAATCTTCCTGCAGGAATTTTTGTTTTCATCTGTACCACTTAAAGGTATTACTTCTCACTACAAACCATCAGACCTTCAACTTTGTGTTCATAGGCCATGATGGCCACCACAGCATTGGTCTCTCTCTCTTTGCGTGTTTAAATGTATGTGTTTGATTGAGCAATAAGCAAGCATAGCAGACATAGTTCTTTTATTAAGAAAGGTAAAACAGTATCAGAAATAATGTATTGATTTGTCTGGGATTTTTTGTTCCATCAGAATTATTAAAAACCTGTTTCCATATCTTCCAGATAAAGCCTTCCAACTTGCATAACAGACTAAGCTATTAATTCATACTGTGCTTCTATAAGCCAAACTGAATTTAAACAAAGCCTCTTTTGCTGATAACTTACATACATGTATATACATACATCTATGAAATATAAGACAAGGTTTTCTTCTTCTATGACATATGCATTATCCATATAAAT